TGGGAGGGGGGATGGGCTAAATGGGTAAGAGGCATTAAGGAATCTACTCCTGAAATCACTGTTGCACTATATGCTAACTTGGATGTAAATTTAAAAAAAAATAAAATAATACATAAATAAATATTTAAAAAATAAAATGAATAAATGAAATGAAAAAGAAGAAACTGTCCCCACAAAATGTTCACCCATCACAAGACTTTCATTCCCAAAAGGTAAAAAGTCTAAATCAAATTATATCACTTCTCTGCTCAAAACCTTCCTGTGGCTTCTCATCTCAGAGTAGAATCCAAAAAGCCTAACTTTTTTTGTAAATCATCTATCCAATATAGACCTCTATCTAGAATAAGGAACTATAAAAACTCAATAACAAAAAGCCACATAAGATAATTAAACTATAGGAAAAGGCAGTGAACGGACATTTCTACAAAGATGATGTACACATGGCCAATAAGCCCATGAAAAGACACCCAACATCATTAGCCACCAAGGAAACGTAAATCAAAATCACAATCAGATACTGTCTCAGACCCACCAAGGTGGCTACAGCAGAAAATGAGATAACAGCGGAGCAACTGGAACCTTCACACATTGCTGGAACCTTCACAACATATGATGGTGCAGCGACTTTGGAAAGCAGTGTGGCAGTTCCTTCAAATATTAAGTACAGAGTTACCATATGACCCAGGTATGTTCCATTTCTAGGTATAGACCCAGGAAAAATGGAAACAGATGTCTACATGAAAACTTGTATACCTATGTTTATTAGCAGCACTATTCACACTTGCCCAAAAAGTGAAAACGCAAATGTCCATCAACTAAGTGAACAGATGAAATAAATATCCATGCAGTGGGCCAGCACTTGGCAATGAAAAGAAACAAAGTACTAATTCATGCTACAACATGAATGAACCTTAAAACTATATGCTAAATGGCGCCTAGGTGGCTCAGTCGGTGAAGGCTCCGACTCTTGACTTTGGCTCAGGTCATGATCTCACAGTTGGTGGGTTTGAGCCCCGCGTAGGGCTCTGCATTGAAGGTGAGGAGCCTGCTTGGGATTCCTTCTGCATCTCTCTGCCCCCTCCCCTGCTCTCTCTCTCTCTCTTTCTCTCTCAAAATAAATAAACTTAAAGAAAAACATACGCTAAATGAAAGAGGTCTGTTACAAAAGACCACAGATTCCACGTGTATGAAGGATCCGAAACAGGCAAATCTAGAGAGACAGGAAGTAGAGCAGTGGTCACCTGGGGCTGGGGGTCGAGTGGATAGAGGATTACAGCCAACGGGTTTGGGATTTCTTTTGGGGGTTATGAAAATGTTCTAGAATTGATTGTGGTGACAGTTGCACAACTCTCTGAATATACTAAAAGCCATTAATTGTAAGCTTTAAATGGGCAAACTGCATAGTATGTGAATCTACATATATTTTTTAAATTCTTTATTTGCTTTTGAAAGAGAGAGAAAGAGAGAGGGAGTGTAGAAGCAGGAGAGGGGCAGAGAGAGAGAGAGGAAGACAGAAGATCCCAAGCAGGCTCCATGCTGACACAGCGCAGAGCCCGACGTGGGGCTCGAATTCAGGAGCCGTGAGACCATGACCTGAGCTGAAGTTGGGCGCTTAACCGACTGAGCCACCCAGGCGCCCAGTGAATTTATGTCTTGATAAAGCTGTTTCAATAAAAAAAACAAAAACAGAAAACAATCTTGAGTCTTACTAGGCCCTACAAGGTCCTCACCTGCATGGGTTCACCTCTTTCCCTCCTTTTCTTTGCTCCCTCTGCACATTCCACTTTGGTTTCCTTGATGCCCTACGAATCCACCAACCACACACCCAACTCAGGCCAGGGCTGTGGCTTATGGTCGAGTAGTCTATACACTAAACAAAAAGTCCCCGGCTTAAGGTGCAAGGGAGAACTGCAGTCTAGGCTCCTGGTTGTCTACACTGGGGCCCCGGGGCTGCGCCGTCTCAGAGGAGCCATTTTCTAACTGGCACGCGGTGTGTGTGCCAGCCACGGCCACGGCCGTATTCAGGGCTTCTGCACATCGTGCCCCTTTTGCTTCTACTCTTTCCCCGCATATGCACATGACTTGCTCACTTGTGTTCGCTTCTCTGCTTAAATGTCATCAGAGGGGCCTTCCCCGACCACTGTGTGTTGCCAGCCAGGCTCTCGCCATCCTCTCTAACTCTTCGCCCTCTTTTATTATACTTCATAGCGCCTCCTACCACCTCACATGTCATATATCGATGTACGTTTTGGTTTACCACCTGTCTCCTTCCACTAGAATGAAAGCCCCGTGAGAACAGCAGCTTCGTTTAGTTCGCTGCTGTTTCCCCAGTGCTTGCAATTATGCCTAGTATATAGTAGGTGCTCACTAAATAAATTCTCGCGTGCATGAATAGGTGAAGTAAATTCAAGTGATCATCTGAGGCTTAATCCGATTTGAAGCGAAGAGAAGGTGTGTTTTTTTGTGGACTCTACGAGTTGCATCACCAAGGAAGAGCGGCAGAATGTAGTGCTGGACGCTCAGTGTCTGAGACTAGCCATAAGGCTCAGCACCACTGATTTAAATGCAGCCTCCGGGGGGGTGGGAGCCAGGGCTCAGGGAGGGGAGCCCTCGCCGGTCTGGCCTCTTACCTCTTCTTTAGTATAGTATTTCAGGAGGCCTTCTCTTGCCAGGAGAACAAACTTCCTTCTCAGGAACTGTGCATTGTCTCTTCCCCGCTTCCACAAGAACCCTTCTCGGTTACCTTGGCCGCCAAAGATGAGAAAGAGTGAACACCTACATCCTCAAGATTCTACCTCCTTAAGGGGAGAACGAACGCTCCACCCCGTGCTAAAAACCTCTCAAATCTAACTTAGCTCTATCAGCTGCAGCACGCAGGGTTCCCTCTGGAGCCAAATTCGCAATGTCTTATGATTTTGTTTGGGGTCCCCCCACTAACTTCCTTCTTTGGCTGTTTCACAAGACAGAGTAAGCCCTTAAGGAGGCTAAGCCCTGAGAAACGGGATGATTCTGAAAGACGCCCATATGGTCCTGCCCGACTTCACGTTGACATCGGCCTAATGAAACTCTCCAGAGGGCGGAAATAATGAGCGACCTCCAGGCACCCGCTGGCCAAAGAATACCGCGTGCTCCTGGTGGCTAGGAGCGCTGACACCGGCTGCTGCTGGGTCCTCACAGTGGTTTTGTGCACTTTGTACTCTGGGTCGGTGTCAGCTTGGACTCAGAGCAGCTGGGCAGCAACCGCCAGGGGTCGAGGGCCAGCGATGAGGTCGTGCCCCACACAAAGGTGGAAAGGGAGGCTGAAATCCCTCCCGTGTGCCTTCCCGAGCCTCGTGCCGCACCAGGGGCTACCCTCACCAGGAGCAGGGGTGCCTTTTTCTAATTACTCTGCCCAGAGGGTGAGTCTTCCTGCAATTTTATACTAAGACTCTATACACACTTGTGGCCCTGCGGGGACCTGAGATAAAAATGCTTCTCAACCACTCAGACCATAAAACCCCACCAGCTGACATGTTGCTGTTTCAGAGGCAGAGGAACCCACACCTTGGCCTCTGTGGCCAGAGTGAGGCCGGCAGATATCTCCTGATTAGGCCCTGATACTCAGACACTCTATTCTCCAGGACTCATTAGAATGCAGACCACAAAAGAACTTACCTGGGGGTGAGATGGTTTTCCCATCGGCCATGAATTCCTGTCTTTCATACTTAGCTCGAATCCACTGTTCCTTTAAGACCCTAAAAAGAGAGAGCCCTTAGTCAACTGTGTCTGGTGCATCCTCTTACCACAGGGTGGGAGCACCACAACAACTGTCTGCTCAGACTACCCAGGGCTTCTCAGCCTTGTTACCGTTACACTTGGGGTTAATTCTTTGTTGTGGGGGAGGGGGCAGCATCCTGTGTTCTGTAGCCGGTTTAGCAGCATTTCTGGCCTCTATCCCCTAGATGCCAATAGTCCCCCACCCCTAGTTAGGACACCCCAAAATGCCTTTAGATACTTCCAGTGTCTCCTGAGGAAAAAGATTTCCCCCAAGGGGCTCTATGAAAACCACTGGGCTATTCCAACCCCAGTCCAGCCCTCTAGGTCAACCGGCTCCCCTGGACCATCTACACTGCCACCCCCCACTGCATGCTCATAAGCTGACGCCAGGGGGGTCCATGAACCTCTTCGTGTGGCTTTCCCACAAAGTCTGGGCATGCCACGCTGGACAGAGCAGTGACATAGGGGTCCAACCACCTGGGACCTCATCCTCCTCTACGATTTATCCGTTGTGTGACCAACAGCAAGTTACTTAACTTCTCTGAACTTGGGGATATGTCAATAATATTATACCTACCTACCCCTCAGGGTCTAGGAGGGGTTTAAATGTATATAAAAGGGCCTAGTGCGGTCCGTGAGTTCGAGCCCCGTGTCAGGCTCTGGGCTGATGGCTCGGAGCCTGGAGCCTGTTTCCGATTCTGTGTCTCCCTCTCTCTCTGCCCCTCCCCCGTTCATGCTCTGTCTCTCTCTGTCCCAAAAATAAATAAAAAACGTTGAAAAAAAATTAAAAAAAAAAAAATAAAAGGGCCTAGTACCACGATCAGCACATAGCAGGAGTCTAATGTTAGCTTAATCAGATATTGTCTTCCATGAACCCTGCAGGAAACTTATTTCAACTGTTTGGTTCCCTTTTGCCTCTTCCAGGGAAATGTTCCAAGGTTTACTTCCAAGATACCGGGAATGACCTAGAGCTGGGCCCTTGGCCTGAACTGGCCAATCAGAGCTCTGCCCTGGGCTGTGTGGAGCAAAACCAAGAGAGGGATAGATTGGAAGCCCTCTCTGGGTCAGGCTGAGAGCTGGGGCCAGGGACCGGGAAGTGGCCTTGTTCCCAGCTCTATGAAAAAAGCCTGGCTGAGGAAAAGGTGCAGGAATGAGAGCCAGACAAAGTAGGAGAGGCCTGACAGCATTTGAGCCCCTGGCTTGTCCTTCCCGAGGGCAGCTCCACCTGTGTCCCTCCTACAGTCTGATTCCCAGAACCCATAAAATCCCCTCATGCCTAAGCTGGTTTAAACTGGGTTTCTGTCACTTACCACCAAGAGTCCTACCTAATGGACAGCCCTCACACCCAGCACGTTGAGGAGAGTCACCAAGCCCACCATGGAATCCTGAGTGACAGGATCAGAGCCGGGAGAGGGAACGGAGACTGAGGCCCCAGGCCCGGTCCTAGAGGTGGAAAACTTCGAGGACCTTTAGAATTACAGGGAAGAAGCCGTGAGTGTTCTGCTAAAAGCGGGTAAGGTACAGGGCTGTGGTTAAAGTCACAGCAAGTAGTATCTGTAGTGCTGGCAGAAAGCTGAGCACATAGTAGGTGTTCATCAAATGCCTGTTCCTTTCTCTTTGCAGCAAAGGGCTGAGTGGCAGCAGTGAGGCAAGGTGAGCCAGACCCTCTTGAGTTAAGCCTGGCACATCCCTCAGCTGGCCCAGGGACCAGACAGCATTCCGAAGAAACGGGTTAAAACTAGCCTGTCATGTGGCCTGTGAGACATTTTACACAAATTATCTCATTTAATCTCTACCACCATGCCATGACATGGGCATCATTATCTACATTTCACAGATGATGATGCCATGATTCAGAGAAGTTGGGTAACTTGTCCACCTTTTCACAGCTACAGAGTGGTAGAGTCAGGAAACAATACTGGGATCTTCTGAGTGCAATACTGTGCCTCCCCTGCCACTTCATGCTACATCAGTAGCCCCTGGGTTGCTTAAATATTGGGAAATGGCAGGGTACTAAGTACAGTTGTACAGTTGGTGCACTGGCCAAGAGCTTCCTGCTGACACTAGAAGACAATGGTGGCTGAAATACAGCCTGCTCTCCGCAAGCCATACCCCCCATGAGCTATATCTGCCCAAAGGGTACCTTCTTCACATTTATACTGGGGGTGGGCGTGGGGCGCTGCCTAGCAACCCTGGCAGTGAGGCTGAGTCCCTGGGAGGGAGGCTAAGCCTCAGGCAGTCAGTCCTGCAGAGGCTGAAGTCACACTGACCCCTCACGTGTAGGGACCTGAAACCTCGTGATACTTCACAGCTTCCCGCCCTTATATTGAATTTCCCCAGTGCCATGGTACCCAACAGCAGGCCCTGGTGTCAGATGGGCTAGTCAGTCCCAGTTCTGTCTCTATGAGCCTCAGGTACTTCATCTGTATCATGGAGATCAAGGCAGTGTTGTCTCAGAGTTGTTGAATTAAACAAATTCATGCCCATAAGCATTTAGCACAGGTACCTAGGTAAAGCTCAATGAATATTAGTGGCTACTCTATTTATATGGTTACTACTTAGGGACCTGGGGCCAGACAGCTGCGTTGCAGCTATGCTGAGTTCCTGTGGGACAGCCTTGGGCACAACACTCCATAGGAAGTAGCTGGAACACATTTGCTCTACTAAAATACCAGCGTTTTTCTTCTCTATCAAGTTAGCCACCACCAGTAGGCTAGGAGAACATCAGAGGCAAAGGAATCACAGAGAAAATGCCCTATTTCACAGCTTGGAAACTGAGTCCCAGACAGTGAAGTGACAATCCACGCAATAAAGACAGAGAGGGAACTAGGCCACGTCTACGTGTTCTCCATGACAGTACCAAATGTCTTTCTGGATCCACCAGGTCCATAGAAAAGACCACCACAGGGGCGCCTGGGTGGCTCAGTCAGTTAAGCGTCCGACTTCGGCTCAGGTCATGATCTCACGGTTTGTGAGTTCGAGGCCCGCGTTAGGTTCTCTGCTGTCAGAGCGGAGCCTGCTTTGGACCCTCTGTCCCCCTTTCTCTCTGCCCCTCCCCCGTGCTTTCTCTCTCTCTCAGATATAGGCATTAAAAATTTTTTTAAGAAAAGACCACCACAGGGGCGCCTGGGTGGCGCAGTCGGTTAAGCGTCCGACTTCAGCCAGGTCACAATCTCGCGGTCCGTGAGTTCGAGCCCCGCGTCAGGCTCTGGGCTGATGGCTCGGAGCCTGGAGCCTGTTTCCGATTCTGTGTCTCCCTCTCTCTCTGCCCCTCCCCCGTTCATGCTCTGTCTCTCTCTGTCCCAAAAATAAAAATAAAAAACGTTGAAAAAAAATTTTAAAAAAAAAATCACTAAAAAAAGAAAAGACCACCACAGACAAATGGAACAGGGGTGGGGGAGGTGAGACCGAGAAATCACCCACTCACAGACAGTCGTTGGCCTGGGGGATATAGTAGAAAGCAGGGACTCTGGCTTCATACTTGGCCTTCACACGGAGGTTCCCGTTGTGGGTCATAAACTGCAAGACAGCAGCAAGTTGGGGTAATATTAGAACATGAAGAAATGTGAAATGAAACCATGGTCTACCCAGAAGGCCACTCTTCCCACTGGCTCCTAGACCCAGTCAGGAGACACTCCTACTTGGGGTTTGACGCACCCCAGGCTTGGTCATTCATGCTGCTGGGAAGCCCCAGGCCAGAACACTGAGGTGCAGTTAACAGCCACGCTTCACGCTGGCAGAGACCTTCACAGTTCTTACCCATTACTTCATTCCATCCCCTCAACAATTTTAATACCGCCATCCTCATTTTAAAGGTGAGGCAACTGGGGCTCAGAGAGGTTAGGTGACTTACTCAAGGTGGCACAGCTAGAAAGTGGAGAGCTAGGATTTGAACCCAAACCTGTCCAACTCCAAAGCGCATGTACTTTGTCCCACCCCCTCCACAGATGGCCAGGACCACCAGCACCAGTCCCGGCAAGCCTGCAGCGGATAGACGTAGCTGGGGGATGGAAGAAGTCAGAGCTGGCGCCACTGAGTGCTTAAGTCAGGGTGATCACTGGGGCCCTATGACGCCCGAGGTACCCAGAGGCAGACATGCCAAGAGTGGCCCTGGCCAAGAGTTAGCACTCAGTAACAGAGGTGGCATATCTGGGGTTAGGGCCCATGTGGGAAGAGACATCAGGTTGCTAATTCACATCCTGTGAGCAGAGTGAACCCTTCTCCCCTCCCCTGGGGCTGCTGGGCTGTGACCCAGGATTTGCATGGGCTTTGGACCCCAACAGAGCAGATTTCACATTCCAGCTGTTCCGTTTATTCACTGAGTGACCCCTGGGCGATATTTAACCCTGTGAGCTTCCGGGATTTCAACTGCAAAAATGAAGAAAGCTTAACAGGGGGGTTGTAAGGACAAAGAAACAACCTTCAGGTCTATGTGCTGGTTACTGGTTTCCTGTCTTTCCCCTGCACTAGAAGGGTGTAAGCTCCCCGTGGGACCAGACTTTATCTCATTCATTGTTCTTTCCTTAACACCCAGCACCTAGTAAGCTTACAGTAACTATGTGTCCGACGAATAAGGCATCTAGCACAGGGCCCGGCACAGAGTGGGCTCTCTGTAAACATGGGCCTGCTCCTCCAATAGTCCTTGAAATCCTCAGCCAACCAGTACAGTTTAGAACTGCTTGTTCTCTGAAGGTCTTCTGGCCAAAAACGGTTTTATCATCCAGATTGCATCCATTTGCGTAGGTCAGGAGAGCAAAATGGTGCCCTTCCTGGTTATGGGGGTCGGAAGGGGGACTGCAGACCATGATCAGTATACTGTTCCAGTCCAAGACTTCAGCTAATGATAACAGGAGCTGTTACTTGACTATTTATTTTGTAGGCATTGAGCCTACATTTAATCCTTATGGCAACCGGGGGAAGGGGTAGTGGTATCCTTACAATACAGATGTGGAAACTGAGGGAAATAACAAGCTCAGGGCCTTGAACTCAGGGCCTCTGTCTAGGCAGGCACTCTAACAGGCTGTGTTTTCTCTTGCTAGTTCTTGCTCCTCTCTGGAACTCAGTTTCCTGCTCTGGACGCCCTACCCACCGCCTCCACCCCGGTTCTGCGGTTCCAAGGCTGTCCACGCGCGCCCCTCGCTACCTCCACGGTACTGTCATCCCAGAAGTCAAGTCTCACGGATTTAACTCTGCTGATGTCTGGGAAGTTGCGGTGGACGCCGGAGCAATTCAGACAGATGAAGATGCCCAGCTTGTAGGAGGCCCAGTCAGGATCTGCGGGGCAAAGAGGGTAGAAGGGGAGTTGTATGGTGAGCTAGGCACGGAGACCAGGGCTGGGCTGGGGGTGCTGGGAGAGGCGGGCTTGGCGGTTAGAATTCATGCGGCGGTGCCCACCGCTGCCCAGGCTGAGAAACCTTTCTCTCTCGGTCCCCCCCCCC